GCTCTGCCTGGGGAGGTTTAGGTTAGATATTAGGAAGAGATTTTTTACAGACAGAGTGCTCAGGCATTGGAATGTGCTGCCCAGGGAGGTTGTGGATTCACCATCCCTGGAGATTTTCAAGCTGAGAGTGGATGTGGCACTTAGTTCCATGGTCTAGTAACCACGGTAGGGTTGGACTTGGTGGTCTTGGAGGTCTTTTCCAACCTGGCTGATTCTATGATTCTGCCCTCCAGCCGTGCTCTGGAAGCGAGCGGCGCCGCTGGGGCCGATGCCCAACGAGGATATCGATGTCAGCAGGTTGGATGTGCTGGAGAAGTATCGCAGCTTCCGTCCGTACTTCAGGCTGGCGGAGAAGGAGAGCAGGAAGCCTCGGTGGTGGAACACATACCGGCAGCACACCAACCCCCCACAGGGTACGCCAAGGGGGAGCAGCTGGAGGGCAGGGAGGCTGTTGGGTGGGTGGATTTCCCCCAAACCACCCTGTGAGCAGCTGTGGGACAAGGGCAGCCCTTGCCCTTGTAGAGTGCCAATGTCTTCAGGGGAAAGGCGGCACAGTTTTAAAGGGGGGAGGGTGGCCAAGACCTGCCAAGAGACATGGAGTAAAGTAGTGGTTCCTTGGAGCCCCAGGAGTGCCAAAGAAAGTAGACCAGGACTTGAAGCAATGAGATAGGGAAGGAGGGAGGAGGAATATGGAGGTGCAGAGGGAAGGTAGAGGGGGCAAAATCCAGTCCTCATCATCCTTTCAAATCCTTTCTAGTGGGAGATGACCCTGCCCATGGCAGGGATTGGACCTAGATGGCCTTTAAGGTCCCTCCCAACCCACCCATCCTGTGATTCCGTGATTCTGGTGTCTGGAAGTTCCATGAGTCCATGATTCTGATGTCTGGGAGTTTATGTCTCCCTCACACACTCTCTGACGTTTCTCAGGGGTTTGTGTTTTTGTGTTTTGGGTACTCACATGTCTCATGTACATGATCTTTTCACCCCTCCCTGAAGAGCCCCAGACAGACATCAGCCTGCCCCGGGCGAGACTGTCCCGGGCAAAGGAGA